TGCGGGTCGATGCTTAGAGGCAGAGCCGAAAACTGGCCGAAGAAGCGCATGGGCTCAGCTGGTATGTCGGAGTCGGAGCTGGAGTCGTAGTCCATGCTTGGCGGCTGTGTCTGCGCCTGCGGGCGCGCAGGGGGAGCTGTGCTCGTAGCGGAGCAAGTAGTTTGCAGGGCTGGCAAGCTGCCCTCTTGCAAGGCTGGCAAGGGCTCTGGAGTGAAAGTATTGGCGGGGCGGGGCTGTGCAGCTGGAGCTGTGGCTGCCGGGAGAGGCTGGGCCGGCTGCGAGTGCCCTGCCCCGGCTGAGGGCACCCGCGCAACTCAGGAGGAGGGTGCTTCCTGGGGGTTTTTGTGCCTGCAAGCCGGGTGATTACGTCCGCAAGGCTCTCCGGATGGGAGTTTAAAGGCGCAGGCATGTAGGTACTTGCACTGTGCATTGCGACACTGCCCTTTATTATATCTGACGCAAAAGGTGCGGTTATTGTGCTCTTTAATGAGGTCGGAGGTTTTGACCTCCGTTGCAGTGCCCGTGCCGGGCTCGCGACGCTTGCCAGGAGAAGTGCCCTGTGCTTTGCCGCCTTTGCCTGTACCTTTGCCGGGCTTGTCTTTGCCATCCTTTTTGGGTGGCGGGCGCGGGGGCAGTGCCGGCGCTTTGGCTCTGTACTGCAGGAGGTTACCGAGGTCAGAGCGGACTGTGGTAAGCTCGTGCAGGGCGTCGTCCAGGGTCCAACCCTGGCCCTGGAGCAGTGCGATCTCTTGCCATATGCGACGGTCCGCTGAGACCAGTTCCGCTGTCGTCACGGTGCGAAGCGAGGCATCCGTGGGCGAGTGCGTCGCCAGATCCAGGATCTTTTTGTCAAAGGCTTTGAGCCGGGCCAGGTGTGCTCCTTTGCAGATTGCGATTGCATTGCGGAACACGGTTTGTATGCGGCCGAGCCAGGCGGAGCTCAGGCGCAAGTGATCAACCGGCATCTCCGGCGTTTCGTCAAACAAGGCTGTGCTTAAAAACTGTGCTTCTGTGCGAAGCGTCTTTGTTGCTTTGCTCTCGATGATCTCTTGATACTGCTTTTGCGATAGCCTTAGCTGCCAGGGCACCCACGTGATGGCGCTGCCCGGGGCGAACCACTTGTGCACAATGCTAAGCAAGCGAACGCTAGGCATTGCATCGCCATCGAGG